AGAGAGAGAGAGAGAGAGAGAGAGAGAGAAGAGAGAATGAGATTATTAAAGAAGGGAACATGAACCAAGGACTCAGGCAATCTGGAAGGGCGAAGGAAACACTTCCTTCTCAAGGGCTAACAGAAGAAGGCTGTACCAATGCATTGATTTTAAGAATCTGATTTCTATAGCTGCAATATAATAAATTGATAATATCTTAAGCTACTAAAATTTGTAATAATTTTAACAGCAATGGAAAACTACTGTAGTGTTTTTAAATTCTGTAAACAATAAATTGTGATTCCAGCTAGGGAAGATTCCAGCCACTTACCTTGGCTGTTCTGTAGTTCTTCAGATGGAGTATTTTAGACTTGATGTTTGTCCTGACAGAGAACATTAGAATGTATGTTATAAATAAGCCTATTAATGATGTCTTTCCTTCCTGTATGTCGGCCTTCCATTACACCTATACTGTGTTGCCACTTGGTCCAAAGCATCATCTATTCTGCCTAAAAGAAGACCAGGCTGGAGGTTGACAAGGGAAAGGGACTAGATTCACAATTTAATGTTGAAACTCAATGGAGTTTGTAACTCCTGATGGACATTTGGTGATTCCCTTGATATTTCTATCTGTTCAGATAATTGGGCTACATAATCTGATCAATGAGGCTATTTATAAAAACATCAGTAAATGCTAGTTTTCTAGATTTAGAAATTCCAAATTAGAATCTGCCCATAGTATTCACCAGATTTGTCAATGGCTTCATTTCTATATTGGTAAAATTACAAAGATATTTTATTTTATCTGCTGTACTTGATACTTGGGAAGAATGGATGAAATAATCTATGTAAAATTTCTTAGCATTTTTTTTAAATTGCATGTAACATCCTTTCATGGTAGCTCCCTTCTCACTAACAGGGATATGTTTTTATTTCTTGTAAATGCAGACATGGCTACTCCATCAGACGTGACTCCAACCACAGGTTTCGAATGTGAGGTATGCCTGTTTGTCTCTGTCAGCTGTTCATTGTTTCTCACAGCACTTACACTACTCTGTGTATCACTATGCACTCACAAACTTCCTTTGGTACAGTGTTTAGTTATTTGCTAAAAGAGAAGCATATTATGCATTACGTTTCTGTAACTGTGCTTTCATATTGTGTGTGTGTGTGTGTGTGTGTGTGTGTGTGTGTGTGTGTGTGTGTGTGCGCACACGCACACATATGTGTATGTCATGTAAAAGCCAGAGGACAGCTTTGGGTGTTGGTCCTCAGGATTCCTCCACCTTGTCTTTTGACAAAGAGTCAATGGCCTGGCTCTGGTTGAGTAGGATGGCCTGGTTAGACAGTGAGCCCAGAAATCTACTGTCCCTGGGATTACAAGTGTGTTTTTCCATGCCAGGCTTTGTAGCAAGCATTTTAGGGCCTGAACCCAGGTTTTATGCTTGAAATGAAAGCATTTTAGTGATTGGGGCATCTCTATAGTCCACAATTGTGTTTTCTTAACTAACTTAGATAATTCTTATTAATTAATTTCTGGCTGCAATAAGAAAAACAAAGTAATAGTTGAGTAAGACCTTAAGAATGTTTCCTTTATAATTTATCTTTTCTAGTTTGATTTTTTTGTTTGTTTTATTTTTCATTTTATTTTATTATTATTTTTGGATGCCTATTTGTTTCCTGAGGAGGGAGAGAAAGAAAGAGTGTGGATTTGGGTTGGTGGGTAAGTGGGGAGGATCTCAGAGGAGTTGAGGGAGGAGAAAACATAAATCAGAATAGACTGCATGAAAAAAATTTTCAATAAAAGAAAAATAGAAAAACAGGAATATCTGGTGGGTTTTCTCTGTAAATTGATGATTCATAAAAATATTTGTTGTGCAGATACTATGGTTCTGTGCAACATAGTGATATACCATCACCAAAATGATGAAATTATTGGCTCATAGAACTGTATGTATGTGTATGCATGTGTGTGTGTGTGTGTGTGTGTGTGTGTGTGTGTGTGTGTATGTGTGTGCGCACACACACACACACGCGTGTGCACCATGATGCTTATATGGAAGTCAGAGGACGACTTATGGGAGTCAGTTCTCTCTTGTGATGTTGAACTCAGGCCATCAGGCTTGGTGGCAAGGGCATTCACCCCATGAGACCTCTCACTAGCTACATGCATACATTAGTAATGAAATATTTGATTATGATTAAATTGTAAGTTTTACTGAACAAATCTGCTTATGAAATGATCTAGAAAATTGGAGAAAAAAATTAGACGTCTGATACTTCTGATCTCAAGTCAATGTTAACATAAATCCTAAGTATATATTGATTATTGCAGAGATGACCTGACAAAAAAACTTGGAGCAAATTTTAAATTATCTTTCAAAAGATTTTGGTTAATTACATGTTCACTTATGAGGACAATGTGAATGTGAAATTGAAGACTCAACTGAGAGCATTAGCTGAGTTTGAGAACCTAACTGATTTTGCTCTTTTGTTATCAGCCTCAACAATTTGATCCTGTTTATAACTGTAGCCAATACATCTGCCTTAATATGGAATGGACCTTTTACAACTGGTCTCTGAACTGCCCAAAGGATGTGGAAATGCCAGACTGTGGATTCCGAGGATGGCCTGTTCAAGTGAACACTGACATATGCTGTCCTGAGTGGGAATGTCCCTGTGAGTTTGATTTTTCTCATACAGCGAAGTGTCTGAATCAGAGAACAGTGTTGAGGGTTTTTTGTTTTGTTTTATTTTGGATTTCTTTGTTTGTTTTGAGATTATCATGTCACTCTCCACCCACCCCCCACATTTTCCCCACATGCCTCAAATATATTTTAATGAGACATTCTTTAAATGTTTGCCCATTTAGAATTGAATGCATTAGAACAGATTCAGAAAACTTGAGGTCATTTCAGAAGCAACGAGGTAGAGCCTTATATGAATAGAATAGATCTTGTAGTTGGCTATGATCATGTTTCCCTGCCTACAGCAGTTATTAGCATTTCATGGAGGACTTGTTGCAGCAAGAGTGCTAGATCCCATCTCTAGACTTTCTGGTCCCTGTAGCAGGTCTCGGTTATTTGTGTTTTTAAAATATGTATTTAAAAAATAATTTTATACCTATTTATATAATGTTTTGATTAAAAATTCCCCTCTTAATTAAAAATTATCCTCTCTTATCTTCTCCACACAGAGCTATAGGCTACAGGGAAGAGGAAGTTTCAGTAATGTGGCCACTTATACATTGTCCCCACCCAAGGAAATAATTTCCATCTGTGCTCACACATCAAATCCCAGTTAAATGAATTGGGACACACAAACTGTGTATACACACACACACACACACACACACACACACACACACACACACACACAAAATAAAAAAAACACTACCTGAAAGTAGAGGGAATTGGGAAGTAGGTATATTTTTAAGAGAGGAATTAGTTTAAAAATTCAAATAATAATTTAAAAACCTCCACTCCGCATTGTTTTGTCTTAGGCCGGTGCTCCATGTTATCAGAGCTGAGCATTATTACATTTGATGGAAACAGCGCTGCTCTGTCCAACAAGGCTTCTTACATCTTAGTAAGAATCCCCGGAGAAATTGTAGTTGTTCACATTGAAAAATGTCCCATAAATCAGGTAGGTTGTCATCCATCTTGTGGTCATTTTTTTCCTAAATCTGTAGCTCATGTACATTGTAACACCCTGGATTCCACAGTGATAAAATTGTATTGAAACAAAAGAAGTTTTCATGTAAAAGTATTTATAATAGATTTATAATATTACTCTGATGGTTTTGAAGGACAATTAATGCATTTACTTTAAATGTGTTTCTTTCTTTCTTTCTTTCCCCAGAATGGAAATGCCCTCAAAAAACCAGTGAGTATTTGCAAATAATTTAGTAAGTTCATTTTGCTTATCACTAAAACTATTTAACATCATAAAATTTTAATTTGTTTCCAAATGAAGGGTTCTTTTGGAAGAATCTCAGGACTTTGTTTTAAGAAGCTAAATGTGACAACATCTATACATAAAATACTTATCAATAGAGTAGCAAGAAAGGTAAGAACATGCAATTAAGAAATGTTCTCACATGGGATTATAGTAGGAATTTATGCAAAACAATCATTTCCACAAAAGGAGGAATTAAATATATTGGTGCATTTTTATTGCTCTTATGGGTAAGTATTCTTGTCACAGGAAGTTAGAAGATGTGTTTCTTAGTTTGATATTTTCCCTCTATTTATGTGAAGGCATTTCAAATATTTATTTTCCATGTGAGTAATGGGGGGGCACGTTAAACATGCCAACACACTCTCAAATGATGTGTGAGTCACCAAGTCTCTACTTCCAGAACTAGGGTTCATGTGTCAAGTCTGATGAGGGGAAAGCTTTGAAGAGGAAGGAGCAATCTGTAGAAAACAGTAGAAGCAAGAACATGCCAGGGAAGAGCACCAGGAGAAAGGCAGACTGAAGGCTAGTTTGGAAGTATTGATGCCACTATATTTTGTTTTATTTTTGACACCACTATATGTTAATGAACAAGTACTAACTTAAACAGAAAGATAGCATATTCGAATTTATTCTAATAAACTAAACAAAATTATGAAATGCTTGAAAGGAATTGAGTAGTTTTTAGGAAAACTTCTAATCCCAAAGAATCTGTTTAGCATGTAAGACTGGATTGTCAGTCGAATACATCATTTAGATCTAAATTGTTCAATCTAAAGAATAAGGAAAAATGAACAAAGGTTTTACTTTACATAGACTACATATTATTTTGCTTTTTAGACATAATTACTATATTACCACAGTTCCATAGATTCTATGATATAATTAATATTAAAATGAACACAAAATAAGATAGTAAAAGGTTTTAACTAAATAAAACCTAAAATATACATGTATGGTAATTTTTAGATGACTGCATTTGCATATTTTTTATTTTGATAGAAGTTGATAGAGTACATAGTAAATAAACTCAAATATAGTCAGTGCTATTATTTTGAGCATTTGTATGGAAGGAATTATTATTATTATTGTTTGTCTCAGTTGAATATATTCCTGGTCAATTGCTGGCCATTTGTCAAACAAATAACCAGTTACTAAAAGTATTATTTGAGATGATACAACACTGATCTTAATATCAATTAACTTGCAGTTGTGTGGATTTTGTATACATGCCTGATAGTTGGAAAATAGGAGATACAGGGCTTAAAATTATGAGTAATGTGTCAGAGAAATGCAGGAAGGAAATGACACACTGAAAGAGAAGGTCAGACAGGCCTGTGTGGAGAAGATGAATCCTGAAATCTTAAGGAGTGGGAAGAAATCAGGGAGTGGAGGAGGCAACAGGATCCAAAGATGAGGACCCAAAAGATGGGTGAGAGATGCAATTTTACCAAAATTGCTGTTACTTACAGCTCATGGTTCTATATCATGGTAATGACCTCAAGTCACTGTTTTGTTTTGTTTTTTTAAAGTATAATCTCCTTTAAAAGTATAATATTATCAAGTGGACATACTGAAAATTAAGTCCAAAATCTAAACAAAACCAAGGAAGAGCAATCACTGAAATTCTTAATCTTAATTAAGTTTGATAGATGACTCTTCTGAACATTATTACTCTTGAATTCTGATATAGAAGAAAATAGAATCTCTGTCTTAAATCGGTACTAGTTAATAATGGTCTGATCACCATGTTGAGGGAATCAGACTAAAGCAAATATGTGAAACAAATTTACGTTTTCAAGAAAAACAAAAAACCAAGAGAGAATACTGAATATATCAAGGCAGAGCAGAGGGTCGACAAGAGAGACTGGAAGTCATCAGAAGCTATGGGATGCCAAGAGAAGTAAAATCTCACACACTAAAAACCCCCACATTATATAAAAGCCTAATTTTAATTTCTATATTTCGAGAAGTCTTCTCCTAAGGGCTCTACATGTGTAATTCTAGGTAGACGTGGATTCTATTGTTGTGCCTTTGCCCTTTTCAAGTCAAGAACTGCTCATAGAAGACTCGGGGACAATGTATGTGATTACTACTCCTGCCGGGCTAGTCATAAAGTGGGCTCACCTTACAGGAATCATAGACATTCACTTCGGCCCCCAGTTTAACCTGTCGTCCTATACAGAAGGGCTCTGTGGTGAGTTCTGATGTTGAAATCTCTCATTTTCTTGCACGTTTTCCATCTTACGTACATTGCTTTGTACACCAGTGGCCCACTTTCTAGACTGCCATGTGATGCTCATTTTCAGTTCTTCGTGGAAGTACTTTAGGAAGCGATGACTTTTAACAAATGAAGTAAGGAAATATATTTCAGATTAAATATTCTATTTAAATACACATTTGTTGTGTCTTACTATAGTGTTTAGACTAAGTCTTCTTCACTAAACAATCATAAGTTGTTAGGTATATTTTATCTCACTTAGTTTTAGCCTAAATTAATATATTGATTGGTCCTGGTGTAATCTTAATTTATTAAAATAAGATAAACAAAGGTTAAATTATTTTATATATTTGTTTCCTTCTTACATTTTAATGTCTGAAGTTTGGAAAAACATAAGCCATCTTGGAAGAATTTACTGTTCTGAATATTCATACCATTTTTACCATAAAGTGTACAGCTCATGTTTACCATTATGTTTAGGCTTAGTTTTGTAATATTTAACACCATTTAACATCACACACACACACACACACACACACACACACACACACACACACACGGAATTACAAGTCATATCTGCAGCCATATAACAAAAGTTTGAAACTACCAGATCTGTTGTGTTTTAGAAAGCTCAACATAAGGGCCCTTCACAGTTATGTGATATGAAGACATATTACATTTTTGAATTTCATACACATTAATATTTTGTTAAATATGGTTTACATATTTCCTTGACTACCAAGAAAATGTTAAACATTGCACAAACTTCTATGGTGACTTGAGATTATCATTCTCAAAATAGTGATTATTGAGTTTAAATAATAATTCATTAGTTACTGAGTAATAAAGCCAACTTTGGGAATTCATATCTATTCCTATGTTCTATTTCTTCTGTGTGGTATGGTTTTTAATTTGATTTTCATGGTTTTTTTCTCTTGTGAAGCCAGTCATTTGAGTAACTAGATTCTAAATAAGCAGTGTAGGGAAGAGACTAAGGTAACATTTGTGCTAATCACAGGTCATTGCCTAAGAACATGACCACTACAGTGGGAGATGTCTGGTTAATTAAAGTGATGTCTATGTTTCATCAAGACTGCTAGTCTGAGTGTTGGCTGAAGAAACTAGTAAAAAAGAATGACTGAGAGAATACTAGATAGGAAGCCATTATTGGCATCAGATTCTTCATAGTACTGTGAACCCCTTGCATGGTGGTTAGAATGAAAACATTTTTGAAAATGTATTTGAAACTAACACATAGTTTTGCTATTATCTCTCACTACAAAAGTTTATATGTAAAGAACTAGACTACTTTGATGTATAAAGTTATCTACAGATGCAACCTGTATTCATGCTGATATTCCTGTTTTGGGATTATAATTTGATGTTTAAAAAAACATCTAATTCACATGTTTTACAAAACAAAGTCTTGAGAATTAAGAAAAATGACAGGTTAAATTAGGGTGGGATTTAGGTGAGGTTTGATTAGGGATCTGGGGATATTTCTCTGTGTTGCTCTTGCCTTTACACTCCACTGATGAAGAGTAAAAGTAATTTGTCTGCCTTTCCTCAAAGAAGTTCAAAGCTACAGCATGTCAATAAGTCAAAATAATTTGAAGAAATATTTTCTCTAACCATCAATCATAGTTCAAACACTGACAATGATATCCTAATATTGAATAAACCTTTTTTAGCTCAGGTGACTGCCATCAGCTGCCTGATTTACTCTACATTATTTGTAAGGATTATGCCTACCAGATTCTACCAGTTAGTTTCTTTCCCCATTGCTGTTAAAAAATATCCCAACAAAAGTAATTTAAGGGGAAATATTTATTCTGATCCACATTTGAAAAGTATAATACCCCATGGCAGGGAAATCAAGACAGCAGAAGCTTGAAGCAGTGGGCCACATCACACTCACAACCAGGAAGCAGAGAGCAATGAATGCTTGTGTTCATCTTCTTTTGTTTTTTCCATTTAGTCTAGGACCCAAGACCAGGGAGTGGTGCCTCCCACTTTTAGTGTGGATCTTCCTACATCACTAAACCCAGCCCACAGACATGCACAAAGGCTAGATAATCCCTCAAAGGTCTGTCCATAATTTGAGTCCTAGGTAATTCTACATCTGGTCAACAGTTAACAATTACCATTACAATGACCCTTTCCTGGAGTTATGTCATGAGCTAGATAATGGAGTAGGAATATTTATTGAAAGGAAAAGTTTACTATGTTTATACAAGATTTTCCTTGTAGAAGGGAAGACTGGAATTCATTCATCAAGTATTTACCATTCTAGGAAATATTTAATTTCATTTTTGTTTGGATACTGTGGGAGCAGAATATTCATATACATGATTTCCTTCATATTCACTTAACGTATATTTTATAAAAAGACATAATTTTAAATGTTCTATCAATGCCAAAGTCAAAGAATATCCAAATTCAGCTGCTTATAATTTCACTCAAATCAATTATTCACTCATTTAATACCAAGGATTAAGCCAATTTAGCTGTATTGCCTATATTTGGTGATAGTGAAAAATTTTCCATCTAAAAGCCACATGTACTTTCAAGGAATTTGCAATGACGATCCAGATGATGACCTCAGGATGCAGAATGGCACCATTATTACCAACATGGAAGACATAGAACTGTTTATTGGGAGCTGGGAAATTGAGAAATCATTTCAAGTAACAATGAGAAGACCTGCTAGGAACTGTACTGAACATGATTGCAGCTACTGCATTGAGTTATTGAACAGAGACGTTTTTGTTCCATGCCATGACAAAGTAAGTTAAAAAGCAGCCAGAAAAGTGTGATTGCATTAGAGTTTCTGCGAGAAAAAAAAAAAAAAGGCAAAAGCTCCCTTTTCTGCCTATTCTACTGAGAATAGCTTCTCTCTCATCCTTCTGTCAGTATGTTTGAAGTTCAGAGATGCTTAATCTTCTTCATAAACTTATAGAGACAGGAAGGATAATTATCATTTTTCCTCTTACATTTTGTTAGAATTGTATAACTTTTAGGGAAATGGAATTCTTAGGCATGAATAAATTCCCCTGGCAGAAAGAGATCAATGGTGCTTGATAACCACATGTAGAAGTTAAGACAGAGAAGTTTTAATTAATTCCTCCAGTGTGCATATGCCTGTAACACAACCATCACTTAGTCAACTGAATTGATCTTTGTGTGCTCTTGTTTCCTCAGTTTATGGACTTCCCCCATTACTCTCTTGCTCTCTCAATAACTATTTTAAGAGACTTGTTGTCAATAAAAAAGATTTCTTGTTAAAGAAAAAAGGACAAACTGGTACAAAGTTTTGTAAGCCATTTACTCTAGCATATAATAGGGACTGTGCTAAAATTCTGTGGTGCACAAATAAGGTCCTCCTTAAGCCTTCAAGAAATTTAAAAAGAGGGGAATCTGTGAACAGATATTTACAATACATGGTATGGAGATATGTATGAGCCCAGCTTTGGAAAAGCCTTCAGGTAGATTCACAAACCTGAGCCATCTAAAAGCACACATTGCCAGAAAAGAAGGGGGAGAGAGAGAAAGATTGAGACACACAAAACAATGTGGATAAGAGAATACTTGGTACAAAAGTCTATGCAAGGGGAATACTGAGGCATTTTGGTGCATTCTATACAGGTGAAGGGCAGTCTAGAGAGAAGAGCGAGGCAGGTAGAGTTAGGAAGGAACTCACTGTGGATGACTGTGATGACTGTACTAGACAGGGAAGAGCAGATTCTGCAGTCCGCCTGCACTATGAGTTCCCTGAGGGAATGCACAAAAGGCTCAAAGTAATGGAAAAAAGTAGTTTTTCTGGAGGTCAGTTTCCTTCAACATTTAGATGAAAGTAAATGTTAAGTGTTTAAATATTTTAAATGCATACACAGAAAAATAAACACACATGCACTTTGCCATTATTTAGATATTTTTTAAAAAAGCATCACCAATTCTTTTTCTTTTTAAAATTGTTGTGTGTGTGTGTGTGTGTGTGTGTGTGTGTGTGTGTGTGTGTGAAAAACAGTTTTGAAAAACTGAGATCTAAGAGAAACTTTAATGGCTTTAATTTACTGCTCTGCTTCTTTTAGCTTCTTTGAAGCAGGGTCTCACTATGTAGCCCTGGCTAACCTGAACTTGCATGTGTAGACCAGGCTGGCCTCAGACTCGCAATCACCTTCCCACCCCATGTACTGGCGTGAAAGGCATGCTCTATCTGATTTTTCGAATGGTTTGGGGTTAGCTCATGGCCTTTGGGAAAGTTAAAATGACAGAATTGATTTTGTGGTAAAATGCGTCTCTAGGTCTCTCCGAGGGACTTTTGTGAAAAAATGTGGATCAACTACACCTATCTCTGGATCTATGAATGTGATGCCATTTCTGCCTATGTGGCTCTGTGCAACAAATTTGACATCTGTGTTCAGTGGCGGACCCCTGAGTATTGCCGTAAGTGACCGCGAGTACAGTGATGTCTTCTAGTCATCTAAAGTGTCCTCCTCTTCACAGACCTTTCTACATTTCACGGTCAGTCACGAAATAGCTTAGTAAATAGAAGGTGAGTGGAAAAAAGAAAACAGATGTCACAGTGCAAGGGCGGTCACCGAGCTTCAGAAATAAAAGGGAATTCAGCTCTGTGTCCTTCTCCTGTCTCCCCCTCCCCCGTCCCACCCTCCCCCCTTGTGAATCTCCACTCTTGATTCATCGTGAATGTCTACATCTCCAATTTTACTAGACACTGTGAAATTGTTCTTCGTCAAGGCTGAACCAATTTATACCACCTCCCCACAAGCTGAATATTCATTATTTTCCCCTAGGTTTTTCAAGACAGTGTTTCTCTGTGTAGTTTTGGTGCCTGTCCTGGATCTCGCTCTGTAGCTCAGGCTGGCCTCGAACTCACAGAGATCCGCCTGGCTCTGCCTCCCGTGTGCCATCACCACCTGGCTTGAATATTCGTTTTTTGAACAGCACGACTTTTTTTAAAATTTTTTTATTTTTTAAATTACACTCATGATATTAATCACATTTGTGGTATTCATAGCTTACATTCGCAGTATTCATTCAATTATATATAATATATAATATTTTAATAATATATATAATATATATATAATATATATATATATATAATATATACATAATTTTAAATGTCGAATGTCATTTCTTGAAGGGGGTAGGAGGTCTTAATTACAGGCTTACAGCACAATGGGAGGACCCCGGAGGGCAGAAGTTCGCTACTGATGTTTTACAATCTTGCATCTAAGCTGTTAATGCCCATTATTCAGGATACACAGACAAGGAACTTCCATTAAGCATTCAGGAATGTGGAACCTGGCAGGGAATTAGCATTGGGAGGATATCAAGGTCAAGGTCCGCAAGCAAGGCAACAGTTACCCAAAACGGGGGCCAGGACCCTACAGGTCCCCCTTTTATTAAAAAATGAGCTTCTGACTTGGGTTGCATGGGATGTCAGCAGGTCACCTTACCCGTCAGGCCACACAGGTGCTCTGTCTTAGGTTGGTGAGTGCCCCCCAGGCATTACCCGTCTCTGAATACTCATTATCATACCGGCTCAATCGTGTGTGAGCTGGATGGTTAATTGGACAGCACGACTTTTTAAGACCAGCAGAAATCAACAAGATTTTCCTAAAGCATTATTTAGAAGCTGCTCAGCCATGCTTCTTTTGGCAGTAAATGATTAAACCTCAACAGGCAGCTTTTTCTTGTTCTTTTTTTTTTTTTAAACTTGTTTGAGTTACATATTTAAGGAGTGTTTCCATGATTATCTTGCAGAGAAAAAGAAAAATTGTATCTCCTCTGGCTGCATGGAGATACTGGCTGCATGCAGAAACTTTGTAATAGTTGACTCCAAATTTATTTGAAAGAGACTTGTACTGGATATTAGAAATATATATTTAATATATATTAAATAAAACACTTTCAACTACAATACTGAATACTATCTAGATACTTGAAGGATGCATTTGAATTCACAAGGCTTACTACTTTGTGGTTATGCAGTAAATGAAAAATAAGCTCTAAAGAACTAAAATATGCAAAATTTATCTCTGTAATGCAGGCTGACCTCTTTCTCTTTCTCAACCAGAATTCACATAGATTATCTTGGCTATTAGCAAATTCTGTCCTTTATTGCCTACAGCTCTGAGCTGCCCTGAGGGGAAGGAATATCAGCCCTGTGTGAGACCATGTGAAGCAAGGACATGTCTCAATAAATGGAGCTATGGACACACCTCATGTCTGAATTTGAGAGAAGACTGTGTGTGCAAGAATGGAACCATTCTTCACCGGCCAGATAAAACTCTATGCATCCCCGAGCAAGAATGTGGTAAGGACTAAAGTACAAAATGATTGCTCAGGAATCCAGAAATCACACACATACAGTATCTTTTGTATGTTGGAAATTTATGCTGAGGGAAATTGACCAAAGATGACCGAGGTGCTGGAAAGTAAATGAGTTTGTAGTTTGCTTTTAATATGGATTTAGTTGGAGTTAAAATTAGGATATTTGGTGATAATGGTCTTTAATCTTTACTTATGTATATACTAATAAGGAAAGAACAAGGTAAATTAAAAATTAAAAGTACCTTGTGGGGTCAATTTAAGTTCTAATTATTTTTGTGTTGTGGTTCACCTTTGCCTCTGTGACTCTGAGGCGATGTATCTGTAAGACAGAGAAATTAATGGGACTTAATCTCTAAGGTTAGAATAGGGAAATATAAGATAATTAAAAAAACATTTTATGCATTCAGTGCCTTAAGAAAATAAGGATGCAGGAAATGGTAGATAGCATTATTTTCTAGGGGAAAACACTTAAGTACTCTGTGTTAATGTTCAAATTATTTTTGGCATAATGTCTTCATCGTTGTGGTAGATCTTAAAAAGCACAGAATTCTAAAGGTTGCAACACAGTACTTTGTCAGTCATATGGGTCTTAATCATGGCAAGAAGGAAAGTAATTTTGCTAATAACTAAATGGAAGGACAGGTAGAATAGAAATGTAAGGATACTTTCAGAAATAGGCTTGTGGCTGCCAGTAAGGAAAATGCCTGTTGAAAGTTGTAGAAAAATAGTATTTTCTGTGGACTTCATTATCAACTTTGGTTAAAGAACAATGCAATGTACTAACTGAAGAAAGCAAAGAAGAATCTGAGAGAGTACATATTCATGACCTGCAGTTATATTGATGGGAAAGTCATGGTCCAAAATAAAAAACATTGTGGCTTGACTTGATGTAGTGCCCAGATTGTAAATGAAATAACATTGTTGATTTTTTTAAAGTATGTACGGACAGTGAAGATCGACCCCGCAGTGCTGGGGAGATTTGGAATGGGGGTATTGATGAATGTGCCCTCTACAAATGTTTGGAGGATGGGAGGATTATTCCTATCGAGCCTGTCTGTGAAGAAGAGCCCTCCCCCATTTGTGAACGAGAAGCTGAAGTTGTCCTGGGCTTTGTTGATGAGCTGACCTGTTGTTCTAAAGAAGTCTGTGGTATGTGAATGAACTGGAGCCTTTGTAGACATGCATTCTAATCAGTCTGAAAAACACAGCAGGGTAACAGTGAAGTTCTTTTGTAAGTGTCATTTTCTCAAAATGAGTTATATAAATACATGTAAAAAAAACTTGTCAGTAACTATTAATAATATCCAACAACCTATGGCAAAAGGCAGGACTCTGAATCTCTGATTATGATAGTAAGAGATGCAAGAAAATCCCAAAAGAATCCTGAGAGCTGGTGTTCGTATACAGCCCAGTTTGGGGCTTGGTGGGTTTCCTTGGAGTGCAAACACCTTTGCTAGAGCCATCTCTCCACTCTGAGATGGCAGCAAAGACTCCAGTTGTGCTCACTGCTCCTGTAACCCTCTGCTGCTTATTTCTAGGCTGTGACATGACTTTGTGTGACATGACCATTCCGATATGCACGAGTAGTCAGAAGTTGATCGTTGGCTACAGTGCTCTTTCTTGCTGTCCACAGTATGAATGTGGTAAGTTCACCTATTAGGGAAAACAAAGCTCACTGTACATTCGAAATAGCTGAGGAGGCCCTCTTTCTCTGAGTCTCTAAGGATAGAATTTATTGTAAAAGATTGGGAAGTTGCTAATTCCTAAAAATGCCTTTATGTTAAGATTGCCACTCAATTCAAAGAGAGAAAAATGGTATTAACTTATCTGTAGTCCCACTCATACACATTTTCAAATGTATTTGTGATTCTACAGAATGTGATACATTGCAATGCCCCAATATTTCAACACCAGATTGCAGAGAAGACCAGTTTACACTTCAGGTCCGACAAGGAGAACCTTGCTGTTTCTACCCTTTCTGTGGTGAGTACTGTGAAGACAATTTGCAGCAAAAAGAAAAAGGAGCTGGGGAACATCTGTTTGCTGCGAATTTCATGGGCCTCGTGGTGAGAGGTATCCTATTATCTTGTAGGAACTGAACTGAATGCAAATGGTAGAAAGCAGAGTACATTGTAAATAACTCAATAATATTACAGTCAGTACTAACCCCATCAACAAAACTATGTGTACCTGTCCAAACATCATCAAAATAACGGAATCAAGACTTTTCTTTAATGAGGAAAGTACCTATCTTTTAAAAAGAAATTTTTGTGTGGGCTTTTCCAGAAGACCCAGCTAGAATAATATACGGTACTTAGACATACAAGACCATTTTAAAACTTCATGTCTACATACCACCTCCTGTGAACTATAATGATCCCTAAAGAGCACAGGAGAATCAGACAGATCTAAGAAGTACCCAGATCAAAGCATTCCGCTTGATGAACTAGAGAATGAATAATAAGGAAAACTCTTTCCCCAGTTCAAGAGAATTATCACACCAGAAATCAGAAGATACCTCCTGGAATTCCATTGTTTCCTTGACTGCAAGTGGCTAGATTAAGTTCCAACAAGGATTTAGGGGCAAGCACAAAAGAGAGGAAGAAGAGACGCCACCTCTGTCTGCTTTCTGTTCTACTGTGCCTCCATTTCTCATTCAAATTCCGTTGAAAGAGATTTTAATCAGTCAGACTTGGGTTTTCACACAGAGTAGCCAGTCAGGATGGGGCCCCTTTATTAATAGTCTTTGTAAGAAGTGTGTGGATGAGTCATTTGCCAGAGTCATTTAGAAAATTATCACATCTGGAGGCATGTATGAACAAGTTCCTACTGCACTGTTCATCTATAAATGGGACCAATTAAAGGCAAAACAAAAATAAGATAATTACAGTAAATTAATCATTGTTGTTTTGCTTTCAGTAAGAATAAATTCCTCTGGAAATAAATGGCTTATATTTCTGATAAGATATCCTCTTTTGCATTGTGCTTAGGAAGCATAAAGTTGTACATTTAGGCAATGGATTATTTCCTTTCTTCCTAATTAAACATGTAGTACTTTATTTTGATTTGGTTTATAATCTGAACTAACCATTAACTTGATTTTAGCTTAGTATGACTCTGGCTTTTTTGTTTCATCTTTAGTTTGTGAGACATGCACTGAACCAGCTCCTCAGTGTACCGATGGGGAATTCCTCACAGTGGATCTGAACACTACACATTTATGTTGTCCACAGTACTACTGTGGTAAGGCCGTCTTAACTAATTTGAAATATCTTAATGTGTCAATGAAAAGTCCAAAAAGAGTTAGATGTTTAAGAAGTCCAGCGGTGCTGTTAGCTTAGACCCCTTTGTCAGGGGTCTTCGTGGGATGAGCTGGGCTAGATCAACGAGTATGGCTTAATTCATGTTATCCATAAGAGCACATGGCAGGGAGAAGTAGAAGAAGAAGCCACTGGGGACTAGAAATCCTGTGTTGCCTTGGTAATGACAGCAAACTGATGAGAACTGGCAAGTCCATGAGATTCATCTTTTCATCTTTACCCATTTGGTTTTTCTTCCTAGTTTGTGAGCCAAATCTCTGTCCTCCACCGTTACTTGACTGTGCAAAAGATATGGATCTGGTGAAGGAAAATGTATCTGGACAATGTTGCCCAAACTGGCATTGTGGTAACTCATTTCATATCTTAAAACTTTGTCATAATGCATTGATGTACTTTGATTCGGGTAAACATGTTGATTTTTGCCTTTTAGAGTGCAACTGTGAAAATCTTGTCATGCCAACATGTGAAGTGGTAAGAATGTATATTTCGATAGCCTTATTGTGTTGTTCAAATTGGTATCTTTTCCCTTTATTGGCCTCATTTCTGAATTATTCAAAATTAGTGTAATTGTCATTGTTATGTTATATTGAAGTTGATTAAAACAATGGCATTACATCACGATAGTTAACCTTTTGTATTTTATTTAAGAAAGTGGCCTTGCAAGGTGTTGTATACCTTTAATCCCAGTGCTTATGAGGCAGAGGCAGGTGGATCTCTGTGAGTTTGAGGCCATCATGTTTACATTGAGAGTTCCAGGCCAATCAGGGTTCCACAGTAAGATCTGTTAAAAAAAGGTGATGCATAAAATATAATGCACTGTAATGCATAATTATTTAAGAGACAATTTAATCTACTAATGTTATATTACTGAAGGTCCCAGTCCTTAAAATGAAGCAAAATATTAAAAAAACATTATTTTAATTATTGAAATTGTTAAATTATTGAAAGGCATCTCAAATAATTCTTCCAGAAAATGAGCTTCTAGTGCATACTTTACACAAGAGAAAGAGGTACAAATGTAACTGTTTGTCTTTTCTTGCATTACCTATGAGTATATAAAGAGAAAAATGTCAAGAGTTTAATGTTTTAAGACAAAAAGGTGACTGTTAACTACTAACACAGTGTGACTGGTGGAGCTTCATATGTCTTTTCATCAAATATCTACCTTCATTTTATGCTATTAGGTTTAAAAAAGAAAATATATTCCTACCCCCATTTATTAGAGCAGATATTGTCTTCCACAAAGACATTCTTATGTTTACATGTTTCTCTTTTTCTTATGTATACTCCCAGCCCGTTCAGACATCTGAAACCCAAGCTTTTGTTGGGAAACAAATGAGGAATGGCATCAACTAATGAACTCCCTCTTTGCATGTCACTATTTTTATTTTCAATATCATTTGACTTTACGTTTGCTCAGGCGATGTTATCTATGGTTTACACAGAATGATGAAGATTTACAATAACTTTCATAGTAGTTACTTTTCTCATAACCAAATGCCTGGGGGAAAAAAAAACATCTTCAGAAAAGATTGGGCCTCAGGTCCAGGGGATATGGTCCGTGATGTTGGGAAGGCTTGGCAGCAGGAGAGGGAAAATCTGTTCACATTGTTGCTGCAGATGGGGAGAAGAGAGAGATGAACGTTGGTGCTCAGCTGGTTTCCTCCCCTTTTCTTACTTATCTGGTCTGTGACACATTCCAAGACAAGTACTTCTCTCATTAAGGGTGTGTCTTCCGTCCTTACGTAAACTGCACTGGCAATACTCTCATAGGCAAGCCCAGAGCCGTGTCTCCTAATTAATTTTTAGGTCATGTTGACAATCAAGTGTAACCACCACAGATTTTGTAAAAAGTTTTCTTCTGATTTGTGTGTGTATTCCAAGCACGTTCTCATAAAAGTAGGATCATGACATCTCTCATGTTTTTACTTCACATCAAATCTTCATGACCCTGATTTTTAGCTCATTTCATAAATAAGGAAGTTGAAGCTTATAAAGGTAAATGATTGATTGAGGCCAGGATACAAAGGGTGTGTGTGAATGTGAGTGTACTGGATACCTGGCCAGGACTCCGGTAGCCAGTGGAACATTTCAGATTAGATCTGGGGAATTCCAGTCATGATTAACCTCATGCAGAGCATCTCTGCTAGCCTAGAAGATACTTAATCATCATTTGGCTTAAGTGTAAACCAGTTCTACAATGAGAATAACTTCATGTCCAATTTGAAAAAAAAAACTCGGTTATAACACATATTGAAAGGATAGGAGATATGAGAACACTGCTTGAGGTGATGTAAAATGGTGTTCACACTTTCAACAACAATGTAATAATTCACTAGGTTAGACAGTTACCACTTGGTCCAACAACCCACCCACAAGAAAGAAAATGAATGCCACACAGAAACGTGTTCTTGAATATCATACCAGCCAAAGAGTGAAAACAACCCAAGATGATTGAGTTTTCTACTAACCTTAAAGGACCATGATGCTTATGCAGAAGCACACTGTCTTATTGGGTGTAATGTTAAGGACTGGTAAATAATGAAGATATATTCAAATAATGAAGATATAGTCTGCGGGTGTAGTTAAGTCCTTAAGAGATAAAGCTACAAATAAATATGTGGGTATGGTCTGAAAAGACATAGACAAAGGAATATAAAATTGAAATTTGAGCTTTTGAGGAAATGCTGTGTGTGACTATGTCCTTGATTATTAAAAATAAAAACCTGTGGTAAGTAACCTGTACAGAAACACCAGGTAGATCTCTTATTTCATCTTTAGAATACCATTTGCACTGGTAGATTTGATTAATAGTTCCTAAAAAGTTCCATTAGAAAATATTATTACCAATCTCCTTGCAATTGTCTTTAAAATCATAAAACAACAAATGAATTACCACATGAAATTACAAGTTATAAGGCACAAAAAAATGTAACATAATATCTTGAAGGAAAATTAACTTTAAGATTGTGGTGTGAATTTATTAGAATAAATTCTTTATATGAAGAATCAAATGCATTTTTTTTTTTTGAGAGAGTTTTTTTTGTGTAGTTTTGTTGCCTATCCTGGATCTTGCTCTGTAGAACAGGCTGGCTTCAAACTCACAGAGATCCGCCTGGCTCTGCCTCCTGAGTGCTGGGATGAAAGGCGTGTGCCACCACCGCCCAGCTTCAAATTCATTTCATTGATATGTGTTATGGAGATTAAAGGCATTGTGGAAAAGGAAATACAAGAAAATACTTGAAAATTGAAGCCTGGTTCTATGGTTGCTTAGGGCAGTGGTTCTTAGCCTTTCTGATGCTGTGACTCTTTTATATAGGTTTTGGTGACCCTGGGCCATAAAATTATTTTTGTTGCTACTTTATAACTGTAGTTTTGCTATTGTTATGAGTCATAATGTAAATATCCGATATTTCCGATGGTCTTAGTTGTGCCCTGTCAAGGGTTGTTGGACTCTTAGAGGGTTGCAACATACAGGTTGTGAACCTGTGCCTTAGAGACTGCTAAACCATTTCCAGTAAGGTGAGGTTTGAGTCTCAGTCATGACAACAGGTGACTAACAGCTGCAGGTTATACAGTACTCTTTTGGTGCTGCTTCAATCCTGACCTCTTTATTCACACTGGCCTGTTTATTCCTTTCCGAATGCTAAGTGGCCAGCAGTACCATTATATCTACTTTATAGATGTGGGCAATGAGGCATAGATTGGTAAAGTAACATGCACTTGTTCAGATAACTAGTAAAGAGGGAGCCAAGTTCCGCACATTGCATTCCTGTTCCTGAGTTGACTATTAGACACTGACCTAGACTCACTGATTTACTCTATGTATTTGCCATAGCTGCCTTGCTGGGATGTAGACCCTGTAGACCTTAGAACTCTGGACTGCCTCCAGAGAGCAGATGAGAACATTTCCAGGGCTGCAAACTTCTTTTCCTCCAAATTGTCCTCTAGAATCCTAGAATCAAACAAATTTAGTAGGATTTTAGAGTTAGGACAAACCATAAATATCATCATGTCCACCTTCATTTATTTAATAGATAAGGAAATTGAAATATAAAGAGATTGAATAATCGGCGCTGGGGAGAGAGTTCAGTGGGTAAATTCACTTCACAAGAGTAAGGACCAGAATTAGGAAACACAAAACCTGTGTACCACACCTGCATCCCCTGCCCACAGAGGCAGAGAGAAGATTCCTGGAGCAAGCTGGCTACCTACGGCACAAACTGGCTACCTACACTAGCTAATTGATGAGCTCTGAGCACAAGTGAGACACCTTGCCTTAATGTATAAGACACCAAAGGCAGAAACCTGTTGTCCACCTGTTTCAACATACATGTTCATTCTCATCCACACACACACACACAAGACATACACATGCCTACACACATGAACACCTCCTCCATACAAGCACTGAGTAATCCACGATTACATTTTTGTTGTGATTTTTTTTTCCTGAATGCTCAGCAAACTTAAGCCTACTCACTAGAAGGTTTGTTAAGTATCTTAGAAGTGTCTAGGTGGGTGAAATTATTTATAATGTGTATTTTGAAAATGATCACAATAAGTCTCATGATTCTTTCTAATAGGGAGAGTTTCCCACAATTGATCAGAACTTTCAGAGTGACTGTGGATGTGTACAGTATCTTTGTGGTAAATGCTTTTTTAATACTTTTAAATAATAAATGCTTATTATTTGCGTCTGTTGCTTAGCATTGATGTATTTAAAAATATGTTCTTTGAGAAATACTGTATTTGTAATAAGCCCAATTGCCAGCACTCTAAGAAACAACTCTTATTTTTCCTTCACCATATCTTAAAATGTTCAGAGAAATTTGATAAGATCGAAAAATGAATATTTTATCACAGAACTGGAATTTTTTTCTATGTCACTTTAAAATTTGCTATCAATACTTGATAAGCTTAGCCAAAAGACCAAGAATTGGTCGATTTAGTTGAAAGGGAAGGTGTGGGGGGACAGGGGAGAGATGAAGGAGGGGAAATTGTGGTCAGGGTGAAATATATGGCGATGAATAAAAAAACCTATGCTATTTAAAATTGTGAACATGTTTTTGCTCTTTGTTTTATGATCGGCATTACCATTTCAAAGCTTGAAATACTATATTTTCATATTAAGATTTAGTGGGTTCACAGCATGTAGAATATTTCTTCAATGGCTTAAATTGCTTCAAATTTTGTCTGAGCAAACAATGGCAGAACCTCAGACTTAGAGGCAAGGAGAGCTTCTGGGTTACATCCAGCCCTCTCCCAGCCTGATCTAATATGCCACCATACAGATACAGTGGTGCATTATCCCAGCAGCACTAAGAATGGAATCATTTCTGTTAACATAATGATCCTTAAACTCACAAAATATTACAGAGTCCCACAATGAAGGGCACTACTATTACTGAATTAGGCTTTGCATCCATCTAGATCCACATGAACAGTGGTCATGATCTGTGTCCTGGAGAAGGAGCAGACATACCTTGCTCATACCTGAGACCTCATCCTTCTTGATGTTGCTATAAAATGCATCTTTTGGAGCATGTTAAGACAAGTGATTTTTTACAGATTGATTTTTATTGTAAGTTCTATTGATTGGTAAATACAAAAGACAACATTGTGTGTGTTTTTTTTATTGACTTTTTCTGTTTCTTTCTTTCTTCCTTTCTTTTTCTTTTCTTTCTTTCTTTCTTTCTTTCTTTCTTTCTTTCTTTCTTTCTTTCTTTCTTTCTTTCTTTCTGTCTTTCTTTCTGTCTTTCTTTTTTTTAGAAAAGGATGATGTGTGTGTGTTTCAAGAAGTATCAGTATTGAGTCCTGGACAATCTCTGACAAAGTATTTGGAAGGGGACTTTTGTTACACAATAGAATGTCTGGAAGAAAAAGATAACAACACAGGCTTTCATACTTTGAATGTTACAATGGTGAATTGTTCAAAAGACTGCGATGTTGTAAGTATTCTTACAAGTTGCTCTGGTGGCCTAATGAGTTTAAAATTAACAGCTAGAGAGTTTGAGCTTGCGAATACCCTATACACTTGAATAGCTCCTCAACACTATTATTTTATGAGATGTCTATATAATGCAGATTTTTACTTTACAATGAATGACCATGAGCTTCAAGAGCTGTTATGTGGAGCTTTCTGGCTTGGTTGACCTAAGATTGTTGTACCTGCTTGATGAATATTGCTATAGATGTAGAGGTTAACACCTACTTCATTTGTAAGTTGGTTATACAAAGTAAATTATTCTTTGAAGCTACTCAGATGCAAGTTTAGAAATGCTTACAGATGTCCAGAGAGAACACCTGCAGAACTAGCTCATCAACATGCTATTATTGCTGCATGGCTAATACTCTGCCTGTTCATTGTATGCAGCACCAGATGTACACTCCATCCCCCAGTGATTATGATTGCTGTGGAACCTGTAAAAACGTATCCTGCAAATTTCAGATGGAAAATGGAACATCAGTTATATATGAGGTATCGATTTTTATTTCCCATTAAAAATATCACCTGGACACCTCTGCACACACTGCCCATTAATATAGTTGTTATATTTTAAACTTTTTGATACTCTTTGATAATTTTATAAAAACTTGTTTAAATTAGGTAATTCTAACTTGGATTCTCACAATTTTCCAGATGTGAGAAATGAGTTCTAGGAAAGTCTGGTATCTAATCAATTATGAGGATAATAAAAATTAGTATTTTTATGGAGCCATTAAATTTTTATTTTTGATATATTGGATATAAAATCAAATTTTCTAAATTTGAATATTGTTTTTATTACCCCTGAACTTACAGATTGTAAGTTGATTGGGGTTCATTGAAGATCTGAAGCTATTTATAAACTGAGATAGGACTTCGAACAGTGATTCTCATCCTTTCTAATGCAGTGACCATGTAATACAGTTCACCACACTCATGCTGTGGCGACCCTCCAACCATACAGTTATTTTCGTTGCTACTTCATAACTATAATTTTGCTACTGTTATGAATCACAATGTAAATATCTGATATGCAGGATATCTGATATATGGCCCCAAATGGGTCTCAACCCACAGGTTGAGAAGCCAGTGACCTAGAGCAAAGAAAGTGATTTAGTTCATCTAAATTTTTACTGATCTACAAGGAATCTTCAAGAATTTGACTGTATTTTTCAATTGTAGCTACAACACAACAAACATCAGTTTGCAAACGTTTTCTTCTAAACCTGGCAATAAAGGAGCAGGAGGAAGAAAAACAAATCCCAAGCAAGGAGGATTGAGAGGGGTGTGGTTTGTTGTTTTGTCAGCAGTAAGGAAAATCAGAGCAAGACCTTTGGCATTTTGTCATTAGAGAATCACTGGTAGAAACAGATACCACTGTTTTTCCAGTTGCTGTATGTCATACTGACCTCTCAGTTCCATTATGAAACCAAGTACATACAAATATGTTCTCTCTCTCTCTCTCTCTCTCTCTCTCTCTCTCTCTCTCTGATTTTGAGATACAATTAGGGACATTTTCAAATGGAATTTTAATGTCCCAAGAAGCTCTCTGTTGTTGTTTGTTTCTATTCTTTTAGGGGACCTACCACCCAGCTCCCAAATAAATCACACATGGAGGCTTATTTTTAATTATAAATTCCTGGACTTAGCTTGGCTTAGTTGCTAGCCAGCTTTATTTAACTTAAATTACCCCATCTACCTTTTGCCTCTGGGATTTTCCCAGTCTCTTACTTCTGTAAATATTACTCTTACTCCGTGGCTTGTGTGGTAGCTCGGTGGCTGGCCCCTGGAGTCATCCTTCTCCTTGTTCTCTCATTCCTTCTCCCCAGATTTCTCCTTCTATTTATTCTCTCTGCATGTCAGCCCTGCCTATCATTTCTTCTACCTTGCTATTGGCCATTCAGTTCTTTATTTGACCATCAGGTGTTTTAGACAGGCAAAGTAACACAGCTTCACAGAGTTAGACAAATGCAACATAAACAAAAGTAACACACCTTAGAATAATATTCTACAACACTCTGTCTTTTTTAACTTGATTATATATTTAGTTAATTTAAGGGTCTAAGGAATTAACAGATACTAGCAAGGATAGCAGTAACTTTCTTTTTTTTTCCCCTTAGGAAGGGAGCACCTGGCACTATAACTGCACCACATATGAATGTGTTAAGACTGATGAGGGAGCACTGATTCTAAACTACAGCATGGTCTGCCCTCCTTTTAATGAGACCGAATGCAAACTGGTTTGTACTTTGTTACATCTAAAGAAATTCTGCATTAGCTGTAATTTAGGAAGTACACATTAGTCTACTTTCCAAGGTCCTACAGACACCGTGGCTTATTTGCTATGGAGGATGTTTTTGTTCTTCACATAAATAAAGTCTCTGGTGTAGCTCTTTAGTTTGCCATTTTAAATTCAAATTTGACTTCCTGAGAATGGATAATTTGCTATGTCTAGGTTTTTATGTGTATATTCAAGGATAATTGAAAAATCCTTTGGTCAGCAAATCCAGGCTTCCTTCTAATGCAGATAAATGCGCTACTTAATTGAGTTTTACCTTTTTTTCCCCCCTTAGACAAACACATAGATTTATCGTGTCATTAATGCATCCTGATTTAGTGACATTTACCTTGCTTCTCCAATACAGGCCACTGGAGAACTTAGTGCTTTTCCAGATTTTATAGTTTTGCTCTCTCCCCCTCCCCCTACCCCGCACCATTTTCTCAGAGAAAAAACCATTAGGGGAAAAGATTCTTAAAGGGTTATGATTTTTATTTTAAAACAAACTCTTTCCAGTAGGTATAGTCTCCTTGATTTTTTTCCTCTGAAGCTACCCTTTAATAGTGATGGCTAGGAAGCCATTGCACGTATTGAAGTTATTTTTAAGTTCTGGAAATGGGGTTTGTTTGAAAAATAAACTATTTATTAATGAAAAAAGTGCCCTCTTAACATTTTTATGATACTTAGAAATTCAATTCATCTAATTATTATAGCTTATTTTTTGGAGTTGAAAATGAATGACAACTAGTTAGAATAGCTTTCATTATTTTATTATCTTAAAAATATTTGGAGCATTGAAAAAGTATTCCTTAAGCAGCATATTTTAGTACTTTTTGTATTAAGGTAGAGGGAGTGCAGTTTTTAAGCAAAATATTATTCCTAAGAAATTGTTATCAGGAATTTTTAACTTCTAATCATTTCTCTATAAAGGCTTTGTGATGGCTCATAAAATATTGTGAGAGTTGGCTTTCAATTCTAGGTTAAGAGGAAATGGAAAAACACTGTACCTTTTACCTTTCTTTCTTTTCTAGAATGAAGGAATCGTAAAGCTTTATAATGAAGGCTGTTGCAAGATCTGTAAGTGAGGATATAGTTCATGCAATCGTAGAGTAGCTTTTGTGGCTCATATGGTTGCTGGGTTCTCTCAGCAGTCTGTTCCCAAGATGTACTTAGTAAAGTCTGTCCTTTAAATGTTTTTGTGATGTGTGGTGGATATTCCTATAACCCAGCCTTTATACTGTGTGGTACACGTAAACAGTTTTATCTGGATAAATTCTCATTTCATTTTTGGACATTTCTTTATTGTGGTATTTTCCAAAAATCATAGTCTGTTTTTTTTTTCTTTAAAATTAAAATAATTTTATATGTATGGGTGTTTTACCTGCATGTATGTCTGTGAACCACATGCATGCAGTGCTTACAGAGGTAAATAGAGGGCATCAGATGCCCTGGAACTGGAGTTACAGAAGGTTGTGAGCTATCATGTGGGTGCCAGGTATCAAACCCACGTCCTCTGGACGAGTAGTCAGTCATCTCAACAGTTAAGCCACCCCTTCAGCCTCTAGCCTAGGATCCTAATAGGTTTGACTTTTAAGTTCACTATGTCCTACTTTGCTTGCAATATGCCCAACTACACAAACTTAGGAAGTTTATGATAGGAATGTTCTTGAGACCCCAATAGGGACATTCAGGAGATTATAGTATCTTCAGAGCATTTGAACAAATCTGTAAGTCTGTACTTCTGGGAAATGCCAACAGGGAGTTATGTTTAAATCCTATATTTAGAAAATTTCATGGTAATTAGTTAACTACATGTAAGTAATGTATTTTATATTTGTTTTAATTACCAGTGTATTTTGTGATTTTGAACAATTTAAAGACTGAAATAGAATAGAGGACTATGCAGCCAACCATTTTTATTTTTTAAAATATGAATTTATATGAATGCGAAAGTAGAAATTTTAATAAAAGTTATTTAAGTAGCAATTAAAAAATTATATAGAGATGCTCTGGGAGAAAAGAACATAGTATAATTTGGGATGGATTATTAAATAAAAGCTGAAATATTTCTAAGTAAGATTTGTGAGTATCCTGAAGGACTGAATCCCATGAATACATAAAGATAGAATATATAAATATATAAAATAATTTACACAAAAGTCCACTGCAATAAATTCTGGAAATATTCTGGTTTTCAGCTCAAAGAGGTTAAGTAATTTGATCAAATCAAATTTCCTGTGATTATTGATGATGGGCTAAAATTTAGTTCCATTGTGTGCGAACACCCAGTTAAGTCATATATAAGCCCCCCCCCCCCCGCAAAAAAAGTGGAAAAGTTCGGCATTTTACAACTTCATGTCCATTTTACTGTGTGACTTTCTAGGTCTATTGAAACACAAACTCTCACAGAGCACGTGGCTTAAACAGCAAAAGTGGACTGTTTTATGGATCTGGAGTTCCCAAATGTAGATGTTGGCAAGCTGCTTTCTAATGAGTTCATTGAGAGCATAATCTCTGTCCCTTCCTTATAGATGGCTATCTCCATATTTGTATTATGTTTCCGTGTGTGTGTGTGTGTGTGTGTGTGTGTGTGTGTGTGTGTGTGTGTGTCTAAATTTCTCTTTATAAGGGCCAGTCATATTGCATTATAATCAACATACTTATCTTATTCTCATCTGATTGCCTCTGTAAAGGCCTTTTGACCAAACAAAAATCACACTCTATAGCTCTACTGAACACAGGAAGAGTTGAGGGACACAGTTCAAATAACAAGATCTATACTGACTGGACCTTAAAAAAGTGACATACATTTTAATTGCTAGAATCTGATGAAACATCAAATGAAAATTTTTTTTTATGTTCATTGAAAATAAGCAATTTTTCATTCAGGAATTCTCTGAATCACATGTGAGCTAATGTTTGTCGATTACCAACTGTAGCAGGAACACAAGAATTAAATTTAGCTGTAGAACCTAAAGAGATTTGTATTTGTATATTCTTACTTTTTCTTCCTTTGACAGCTTCGTAGTCTAGACTCTTCTTCAGATTATGAGATAGAGGCACAGTCATCTTCAAAGTCAAGGCCATGGTAATCAGTCTCATAACATCACCCCACGATAATTAATAGACAAGTTAGTGCATTTCTTTGCTGAAGGCCAACAGGAGAATAACTGGGTGGCTAAACTGATGAATGACACACTAGTATTCCTCAGCCTGCTTGGACATGACCATAGCCAGTCCTTGGAGGAAGGTGTAGCTTCCTGAAACGATCAGGAGATCAAGCCTCAGAGAAGGAGATTCCATTAGGCAATAATTGGCATTGGCCCATCATCGTTCATCTCTGCCAACCTCTTTGACTTGCGGAATAGCAAACTGCTTCCGTATCCCTCATCCAGTGTGTAAGTAATCCTTTGACACTAGAGAAGGTTTATTACAGTCTTAGATTCTGAATGACCAGGTTATGTTGTGGAGCTTAGGTACTAGAACAGGTGCTGTGACAAAACAATTTTACTACTACTAAGGAATCTGTGAGGAATAGATAGGAAATACTTCTAGAAACAAAATATTCAGCTAACCAACAATGAGTCATGTTGTCCCATGTATTTATTGAATTGGTTTTTCCTTGACAAGGGCAGTTTGATTTCAGCCACTCTTAGCGACCCATCTCTCCTCAAAACAGAGTAGATGAGCTTCCCCTGTTGGAATTTCACATCAGACTTTCATGGATAAGGTCATATGAAAACTGATAATGCAATTCCGCCATACCTTAAACAAACATATTGAACAGAATGAGTCAATGAGTTGCCTAAAGTGACAAAGAACGTTCTCAGTTTCATATTGATGTATACTATTGTGTCGTGAATGATTATAAGGTGATTTTTATTTGAAATCATAAAAGACCATTTCAGAGCCATAGGATAAAGTATGAACCATTCATGCTTTGCAAAAGGCTGACAAATAAGGTTTTATACTTACCATATTAATGGGTTGTTAGAAAATGTAGTTTTATGTCCTAGTTTTATTTAAAAATTGTTGCATGCTAATGAATTATTTATACACATTGCATTTTTATACAAATCACAAGTTAAATCTAAAAATTCATTATTCCATATATATAATGTTTTGGCTAGTAATAATAGTGACTATTCTAAGATAATGAGGTAAAAAGTGAAAATAACTATGAATCTAGAAGATACAAGCTGTATGGAAGGAGAAATAGATATACATACAATATCTAAGAGTGGAGTTTGAAAAAAATTACTGAATATATGATTTAAATAAATATATCAAATTTCCAATCTAATTATATTCATGTTTTAAATTTAGAAAGCATTTTACATGGGTTTGTAATATTTATTTATTATTTTTATTTTTAATTGTGTGGGGGTATGAGTATGTTCATGTGAGTGTGGTTCATGGAGGGGCCAGAAGTGTCAGGTGCCCTGGAACTGGAGTCACAGAGAGTTGTGAGCCATCTGATGTGGATGCTGGGAACTGAACTCCAGCCCTCTGGATTAGCAGCGAGGGCTCTTAACCAACACAGCCATCTTCCTATCCCCTTACATGGGCTTTTTGATGAACAAATGTATTCTTTATTTTTTTTTTCAGGCAAACGAGAAGAAAGAGTATGCCAGAAAGTTATCATTAAATCCATCATAAAGAAACAGGACTGTGTAAGCCAGAGCTCTGTAAGTGGAAAAATAACACTGGTTACATAAAGAACATTTGTGCTTCTGGAAATCTGTGGATCACTGACATGTGACAAACTAATATGCCAAGAAAATGACAACATACAGTATTTAATTTTGAGAGTGTTCCTAACCTCTAATATTAAAATATCCTGTTTCTGATGAATCATAAATTATTCTTAGCATAAGTAATCAACAGTTCTCAATAATGATTGCAATCTAGAGAGATAGATAAGCAATCCTCAACATTTGACTACATTTTGTCTTTAGCTGTGTAATTTTACTCAGGGAATATTGTCTGCATTATTTCTTTACTCCTTTTATTATGTCCTACTCAATTCTATGCTGTACTTCTACCAGAACATGGCGCCAGCGACCATAGAATTTTAGGGCTGGGATTAAGTTATTCCATATTTCTATTTTTATGCTCGCACAATTCATTTTTTGAATTACGTAAGCATTGCTGTATTGAGCGTGACTATGTAACAACCCTTTGATGAATGTATGTATCAATGTTCTAATAAAGTATTTCCACAATCTTTAAACATATAGAAGACTGGGGAATGAAATGGTAAAAAAAAAAAAAGTTCTTACTGACTCCTGGGAGGAATCAAATAATCACCAGTGTTGGCTGAACTTGAAGATTTTTTTCTTCCTCTTTATCTGTCCTTGCAGATCAGTGTTGCATCCTGTGATGGAAAATGCCCATCAGCGACCATATACAACATCAACGTTGAAAGTCACCTGAGGTTCTGCAAGTGCTGTCGTGAAAACGGAGTGCGAAACATAACTGTGCCTCTGCACTGCTCAGGAAATGGCACAGAGGTTATGTACACACTCCAGGAACCTATAGACTGCACATGCCAGTGGAATTAAGCTCTTGCCTTTGAAGAACTCTATACAATAGTGTCATGTCAGGCAACATCGGCTCACCACTATTATTTTGGCACATAACAGACTTACACAATATAAGAATAATGGTGGCCTTAACACTATTGGAATTTGACAACCTAACATCTGGTACAAACATAGTTTCAATGGAAAAAATTCAATTTGTAGTTTTATTTCAGAGAATAAAATTATTCCAAGTTGTTAAGTTGGAATGCTGTTATATTTATAATTGCATTGTGGGGTGAATTTTAAATATTCCTATAAAGTAGAAGACTTTTGATGCAGAATTCCTTCTATTTCAGTCCCTTGTTCTCTTTTTTTGTTTTGATTTTCAGTCTGCCATGGCTGTCTAAACTGAGGTAGATTTTAATTTCTGCTGCATACTCTGGCCAATGTGATCGGTTATAATTGACTGATAGATAACCATAGAGAGTTGTGTGCTTAGACACAGCACATAGAACCACAGGTTGTTAGCTTAGTGAACACTTCAACAAATATTAGAAATGATACTGCAAACCTCTGTCATTTTTCAGGTGTGACATTACCATAACACTTTTGTGACTTCTACAAATATATGTAGCAACAATATGGGGAAGTTATGTAAAAAAAAAAAAACTAGACTATTTTCTAAGTCTTTTTGATTCTGGTTTCATGCTCTTTTATTGTAAATGACACAGAAAGGTGAAAAAAAAGTCACAGAAACTTCCATTATTAAATAGTACTGGATAGGATTAAAAAGCTTAAGTCTGATATCCATTTAGAATGCCACAATGCAATAATAATTATTCATTAAATAAGGAACAGGAAAATAGCATCAGTCACTACATAGAGGAAGACCTGGAGCTATATTTTTTATACCATTAAAATTATTAACTATATTGTTACTATTTAACATTTAGTTTCCTTTATTTATCACTGGGGGCTGTTTCTAAATGTATCTGTACACTATGAAACCTGAGAGCTCTTTTTGCCATTAAAGCTGCTGCTTTGTCAGTGAGGAGTGATATAAAAATTATCTGAATGTATTTGTAATGTTAGAACAGGAGGCTGCGAATCATTGACATTTGCAAATAATCTGCTCTGAGATCTTTGCAAACTCCCGAATTCTTTCTGGCAGGGAGTGTATAATTATTTGAGTATGATTGTGAATACCAATGAAGTTCAATGTCAATAAAAGGACATTAAAATTGCATTGAAAAGCCTAATAAGCTAGGGTTAGTTTGAGCTAAGTGACTTGTTTTCAGATATTAATGTTTCCATTTAAAAGTTATGCTTTCAAGAAACACTGTAATTATGAAGTGTTTGGATTTCCAGGGTTGCTTAGAAATGGGTGAGTATTATCTGGAAAATCCCAATGTCTACTGTACATAAAAAATGATTTACCTTGTTTTAATATCAGTATTTTCTTTAGAGATAAACATTTCTGTATCTGTGATTATTAGCATGTAGATTGAATTAAATGTTTTTGTTTAAATATATTAAAGTTTTACATAAAATGTCATGTATCTCAAACAGAAGTATGTAATATATGTTATCTATCATTTTCTTTTAAATTCTACTCTCTATTATTAAATATTAACTGATCTTTAAACCTATTTGTGGGGAGGAGAGAAATATTCTTCTGGTATTTTATAAACAACAAATAAAATAAACACATGTTGGAGTTCTGTGATGTGTTTGATGCTGTTCTAAACATACATAGTCTTTGCTTCTGTTCAACTTAAAGTTTAAAAAGAATGCAGTCTTCAACTAGTTATAAATATGAAGAAATCTAGAAGGAGACCTGAAAGCTTATAGGAGTATAGTGTAGGATATCTTTCAAGTCAACAGAAAAGCAAAGATGGACTTTCAGTGATTGCTATTGGAACAGCTGAATCATCACTTGAACAAAAATTATTTGTGTTTAGTTATTTATTCACTGACATCAGAATACACTGAAAATAAATCCATAATTTATATGTGAAATGAACCAATAGAAGTTCTAACAGAGAAAGAGGGAAGAGATTAATTGTCAACTTGTCCAGGGGGAAAAAATCACTCAATATACAGCAGCCTCCACACAAGGATTAATAAATTTAATAAGAAAATGACATGAGCAAAATCTGCATGACAATGAGAAGTATCAAAAGAATGAACACTGAAACCAGAATGGTGGTGTCTCTTGGACAGGGCTAACATTCCTGCATGCAAAAAGCTCCTGAAAAACCATAGGAGAATACACCTGACAAGAAAAGCGGGCCATATGCAGATTGTTCAAAGAGAAAAAAATAATACTGGTGGAGATTTAAAATCAATGCTGAAGTAGAATTACTTTCCCACCAAGCTGGAAAAAAGTAAGATTAGTAATACTTTGTTTAAAAAAAATGTGTGAAGGTAAGTCTCTTATATTATTGCTGATGACTAAAAAGTGTAGAAATCTTAAGGAAGACTTAGCAATATATATTGATATTAGAGGGGTGTTTTTGTTTGGTCATCCCATGAAGGAAATAGATCCTAGACAGTGCATCTGTATAAACACAAACTGGCAATTGCCCAAGGCTATCAATTTTTTTTTAGAAAACTTTGCAATCAAACCAACAAAAATTGAATAAATTTTGTAAATCAATGATGGAATGCTATGATGACTGGATGAAACAGAGAGATATAGTCATGTGAGTGGATCTCTAGAATTTAGTTGGGTTACAGGGATCTGAACTCAGGATTTTGTGTTTGTGTGGGAATCACTTTACTCACTGAACCATTTCTTCAGATGAAGGCAGCCTTTATGTTTCATTTTCTAATTTTTACCACCATATATTAATTTAAGTATTATTTATGGAATCCAGTATGATAATGCAATACATGGACAAAGTGGTATAATGATAAAGTCAAGGCCATTTTATCTTCTCAAGCGTTAGTCATTTCTTCCTGTTGGGAACCTTTGGACTGTACTAATTACTTTGCAATATAGCACCAGCTGTTGAAAAGTACTGTTACCCTGCTGTGCTGTAAAACACCAGGGCACTCCCCCCTGTTTAGCTGTATTGGGGTGCTTGTTTCCTAGTCTCCCCATCATCTTTCCCCACTGCTCCTAGCATCCCTGTTTTCCCCCATCTTCTTCCATGAGGTCCATGTTTTTGCTTCCATAGATGATTGACGGTGCCCGATACTGGCCTCTTCTGCCTAGTTTATTTAATTTGCTATGATGAAAACTTCCGACACGGGCTATAAAGGGGAGAGGGAAAGTGCCGTGCTAAAAAGTACAGCAAGATCTAACGGATCTTTTGAAGTACAGTGATAGGTTGAGGCCTGAGGCTGAGTCAGGAATCAAGTGACCAAATGTTTCTACACAACATGCACCATGTACCAAAGACCTGTGGTGAGAAAGGAGCATGCCTGGGAATCTAACATTCTTTTTGTACATTTGAGGATTTCAATGGTATAAGAAGTGGCTGGTTAAATAGGCTTGAAGGCCAAATAATTAGGGACTGGAAAAATACATCTACTGTAGTTTAGACGGAAAATGGTAGAGGGCACATGGAGAAAGTTGTATATGATATGTTTTGGAGGCAAAGTTTAAAGGACTTGGTAATCACTATGGTGCAAACATAGTTGGGAGAATTCCTCTGCAATTGAGGATTGAGTTGGTGGGTGGATGATGTGAATTTGCTGGGCGGGTAGGGAAAAGATTTAGAATTCAGTTTCCATCCTACTGTCTGGTCTATGAAACAGCTGAGTGAAATGATTAGTATCTACCCATTTCCATTGGTCTAGAGGAGAGAAGAGAGAGTCCTGTCAGGAGTTGTGAACAAAGAAACTGTACAAAAGTATGATATTGAAGTTAGTGAGGGCCAGAGTATAGAGAAAGGAAAACAGAACCGACAATTAAGTAAAAAGACCTCTGCCACTTAGAGGTCATGCAAAAAGAACTAAGGTAGGAGGCTGAGAGAGAAGAGGGAGAGGCTAATGTAAAGCTTGGAATGGTAATGGGGAGGCCACAGAAATCCAGAGAATGCAAGAGACTGGAGGAATCTGTTAAAGGCTAATGGGAAAACCAATTTATAGAGACAGAGCTCGACATTATCATCATCATCATCATCATCATCATCATCATCATCATCATCATAAGCCATGTTGAAGAGACAAAAAAGTGATCGACAGGCAGTGAATTCTCAATGTGCTCATCACCCTGCCCTCACTGCTCACACATCACACTCACCCTTCTACACCTGGCAGCATTGGGTACTTTTGGACCTTAGTGCTTGCTTTTCTACCCTGCTGCTGAGGAACCTGGGCAGATACCTCATAGCCCAGGCAAGCTGTGCCCAGGCAACTCTGGCTTCCCCACGGCTTAGCGACGCCCTGGAAGCACAGCCTGTGAATGGCCCAGAGCCCTAGGTGAAGCAGTCTGACAAAGAGGGGGAGATTCACTTCCTGTGAGATGAACCTGTGAGTGACAGGTGGAGAACCAGCAGGAAATCCTGCTTCTCCCAACTGTGCTCTCTCCTAAGGTACATGGCTTCCTCTTGGCTTTTGGATGACTTCCAAGCTTCCTAGAGGGTGTGCCTTGCTATTAGCAATGACTTGTGCTTAATCTAGGCCTCACCTGCCTCACCTTACTTCTACTTCTCTCAAACCAGTTCCTTCTGGAGTCTTCCCTTCAGTATATACACATACATTTTGTGTAAATATTTCCCGATTAGCTAGGGAATATGAGAAGATACAATTTTTAGCGTATTAAATCAATAAAGATTTTTAGCTATTTCCAATGCCATTTTGAGAAGAGTGAGAATCAAATTCTCATGTAGTTTGTCTTTTTTTTTTTTTTTTTTTTTTTTTTTTTTTTTTTTTTT